TATTAAGTATAATTATAATGGGTATTTATATAATCTATATACACAAATTTTACACTTTGACCATATTTGGCCACTTAAGGACAAGCATTTACAACTTTAATTTATTTTAAGAAAAACTATAATTTATTAAATAATATGTTTGTTTTTATTTTTTAACATTTATTCAATAAATAGATTAGATTTTGCCTATGATTCATTTTAAAAACGTTAAAATGCACAAAACAAATCCGGTTAAGCCGGCAAAACGAAAAACAATGCTGTAACCTCCCTTTTTTAATAAATTAGCCAGAGAATTGGTTGGCTAGTTTACAAACTAGCTAAAGCTTGTCTATTTTGTGTTACTAGAAATTTTGGTTTTCATATTAGCCAAACTGAATTGGACAGTATACTAACTATCCAGCTATTTTAGTTTCCCTAATAATTCAAGTAAATTAGCCAAGATCCTTGGTTATTTTGTAAACTAGCCGCTAATTTAGTTGAAAATACATTTTCAATTAAAATAGCTGACAGTTTGGCTAGTTTATAAACTATCCAGCTAGTTTATAAACTATCCAAGTTTGCACATTAGCCGTAACATATATATTGGTATATTGTTTTAATTTTCTTCTGTTTTGTTTGATAGAAAGTGTACAACCTCACTTTTTGGCGTGCATCTATCCCCACCGTTCCATTTGCAAAATGACAGGTAAGCCAAAGTGAGAATTTTACCTCCTCCCTTACCGATTAAGCACTACCTCCGGAGCACACTTACAAATGAGAAATTTTGATTACTTGGTGGTGGGGATAGATGCACGCCAAAAAGTGAGGTTGTACACTTTCTATCAAACAAAACAGAAGAAAATTAAAACAATATTAGTGATGGGCACAGACCTGTGGTGATGGGCATAATCGGATTTTATCAATAACCGATTATATCCGATAGGATTATTTCAATAATCGGATGATAATTCGATTAAATAATCGGCGATTATAAATCGCATACTTTCATTCGGATTTCAATATTGGAATAATTTAATCGAATTGATAATTCGAATGAAAGTATGCGATTAATAATCGCCGTTTATTTTCAAATTAAGTAATCCGCGATTATTAATCGCATATTTTCATTCGGATTTCAAATTGAATGATTCATTCGGCGACTAGAATACCTACAATTGTAGGTATGACTATTTAAATAGTAATTTACGATTACGATGATACGATACGATTAAACTAGTATTTTCAGAATCGCTGCTGAATATTACATTCACTACATTCTATAAAATTAAAGAATAAAAAAAAGGTATTTATTATTGCTTAAATTGGATTTATATTTTTAACTACCTGTATTATTTGATTCGACATTTTGTTCGTTAAGTCTTTAATCTTTGCGTTAAACCGTTGAGGGAAATGGTTAAACCACAGAACATAAGGGTTAAACTGTCAAGTGTCACTTTTAGAGAAAATAGGCTTACCAACCGTTCCTTTGGTCTATTTTAGGTAAGATGAGTGCGCGTAAGTGGCCTTGCTTATCTCACTTTTGCTTGGCTCACTTCAAAAATGAAAGGAAAGCACCTCTTGTTCGGTAAGGGGGGAGGTAAAATTCTCACTTTGGCTTACCTGTCATTTTGCAAATGGAACGGTCTCTAAGGTGAGATAAACCAAGGTAAAGTAAGAATCGTGGCAAAAGGAAAGCACCTTATATAAGGTCCCAAATCTAGGGACCCTATATTATTATTCATGTAAACGCCATCTATCGCCCTGTAGTTGCACTACTACATTCACTTGATGCAATGATTTTAGAATCGCATGCCCGATCAGCTGATTGATGACGTGTACGTCGTTTCCTTTTAAATTTACTATAGAATACAATTTTGTTTTTTGACATATTTGTAATATAAAAGATACCAAAGTTGAACTGTTTGCATTAGAAAAATGCTGGTGTTCCATATTTGGAAACGTTCATCTAATATTTAACTTTCAGTGTAACAATTTTGGATGTAAACGACAACTCTCCAGTACTTAACGTACCTTCGCACTGCTTAAACATAACAGAATTTCATGAACCTGGGCAACCCATTACCGTTATATATGCTTCTGATGCAGACGCTTCAGACACTTCGAATGGCCAGGTAGGTCTTCTTCGAAAAAAAAAATGCTTTCCAGATAGGACACGTATCATATTTCAGGTCATTATAGATATATCAGACGGTAATCAAATCGATGTGTTCGCGTTGGAACAAATCTCGGATTGGTCGGCGGAAATTCGCACTACAAACTCTCTAAGAGGCAGACACGGCAACTACACGCTGTTGGTTAGGGCCCAGGATCTGGGGACCCCAAGTCATTTGGTGGAGGCGCCTTTGCGAATCTGCGTCACGGATTTCAACGATCATCCGCCAGTTTTCGTCAGTCCGCCACATAATTCCACTCTTAGAATACCAGAGGTGAGTCGTCGTTGGAGTAATTTGATGATGATAAATGGATGGTTTTCAGTATCTTTTAAGATTCTGATTTAATTTAAAAAAAAAATATTGTTCGGATTTAGTTCAACTGACTTTTTTCTTTTGGGTAACTTGGTCAAATATGCCAGAATGATGAAAGTGCTTTATGTGCATAAAAATAAATCTTGGAAGGGTTTTAAATAAAAAATAAGCAAAATTTTAACATGACCGTCGCATACTTTTTTTTTCATGTGATTTCACACATTTCAAAATTAAAAACCGACAACAAAAAAAACATAGCGAGCAATTTATAACTATGTATGTTGCTATTTTATCACTATAGACGGTCATGTTAATAAAAAAATACGAAGAACTTTAACTTACCTTTTCTATATCAAAATACAGGACAGGAACTGTAAATATAGGCTAAATTGCACTGTACAATTGGCGTCCCCGAAATGTGAACGATTTTTGGTTGTCATGGATTTTTTTCATAAAATTCATTCTTTCGTTCCTGGCTTCAGCCAGTGGTGTTACAAATAGAGGGGAGAATACTAAGAATAAGAACAATATCCTAAATCGTTCTATTTTTTTAATAATATTTTAACAAACAATAATATAAACAATATTACAAATAAATTAAATTTAATTTGGTTTTGTACAATAATATTAACAAGTAGGTATATAAAAAATAAAAATAACATATTGCTCAAGAAAATTGGTCTTTAAGTGAAATAGCTGCAGATTTAAATGTCTTAACCTCTTCCCAAGAATTTTCCACAGCATTCCGTAGTTCATTTCTGTTTGCTGGCCTAAAGTCCCGTCGATATAATTTTGTAACTATAAAACCCCACACGTTTTCAATGGGGTTTAAGTCAGGACTTCTAGCTGGCCATGGCAAAACAGTTATGTGGTTGTTGTTTACCCACTCTGTAACCACTGGTGCATGGTCCTGTAATGTAATATTTATTAGAATCATTTTTGTATACTAGGTATACAGTTTTTTAACATGTTGGAATGTGACATTTTCTGGAAACACATGTCTAACTGAAGGTGGCATAACGTTGTCCAAAATCGTCGTATAGTGCTCAGCCGTTAATCTACCATCAATTTCCCAACATATTTCCGCACCATGGACGCTTATCCACGACCAAACATTTATGGAAAAGCGTCCACTATTTGAGGTTCTTCAAATCTTGCGTCTTTTGAACGATATACACGTAGCCTTCCATCATTGCAAGATTATAAAGTTTTTTAATCAGAAAATATAACATTATTCCATAATTCATTAGTCATTGGCGAACTGGACTCTCCTGCGCTTATTTTCATCAGTTAAAAAAACCTTATGAGCAGCAGCACAGTTTTTTAAGCCAGCTTGTTTCAATCTTTTTCGAGCTGTTCGAAGAGATCCTGGAAATTGTGCATCTTCTCGGGCCTTAACTGCGTTATTGAAAGGATTTTGCGTAATATGTGCGACAAGAGCATTGTCTCCATATTCGTTGGAAATTTTACCCACACCTTACCTGATAGGTCTGCTCAATCTTTGTTGTTCTTGCCAACGTTTCTTGATATAAAATTTGCAGCTTTTACTGACATTTAAATCTGCAGCCGCTTCACTTAAAGACCGATTTTCTTCTAATTTGGCTATTGCCCTGGACCTCTGAGCCTCAGTTAAGTGGGGTGGCATTTTTGATATTGCAATTGACAACTATTATCAAATTTGACAACTACCAACGTTGACATCTTGATTTCTGACACTGGTGTAGGTTTATGACGTCATGCAATATGGCGGGAGTTCGGGAACGTTTGAAAAGTACCTTTTTTTCAATTTGATATTTTGGGGCCGGGTTGAACTTTTGGAATATAAAAAAATATTTTCGCAATGTGTTTTTACCTCTAGATTACATTAAAAAGGTTTTTAGGGATTTTCATTTTTGATGCAATTACTCTATTGTACATAATCACCAAACAAGGCAAGTTAAAGATATTTACTTGGACAAACCTACTTCAAGCAAATATAGTAAATCTTTGTTTTTTAAAGGGTTCCAATTGTATACTGAACTTCCAACTGACATTAAATACTGTGATAATGTTTTTATGTAATTATTGAACTTATTAATGTAATTATTAGTAGATGTCGTTTATAGCAGTATAGCAGAGGCTTAATAAATAAATATATTATTATTATTATTATATCGCTAACTGATCTGCACAATTAACTGTCGTCATTTGCAATAATAAAATATTTTAATTCACACATGCAGTACCATCTAGCGGCAAATAGACGACCTAAAAGTCCTTCTACGGTCATGTAAAGAAAACGTTCAGTTATTATTTTTAGCCTAAACAATAATGGCTATTTAAGACAATTTTATAACACAAAAAACCAACATTTGTGCAATATCATTTTCTTTGGCTACTTAAAAGTTGAATTAAATTTTTAGAAGATCGCAAATATTAGATTTTGCTCGAGGGACATACGACGGTCATGTGAAACAGGCGTTTTAAGACCAAAATTAAAAAATAAATTCATAGGATATTGATATATGCCTGTCTAGTAAAATGTAAAAAAAAAATATGGCTAATACAAAGGTTTTAGTTTTAATACTCCAGGGACAAGGTATCTTAAAAGTTACTAAAAACCACCCAAATATATGTATTTTTTAGAATGCCACCGTTGGAAGTGCCCTTATTCAAGTCAGAGCCATGGACGAGGACGTGGGTCTAAATGGGGCGATACGGTACCGTTTGAAAGCTGACCCAGCAGGTCACTGGAAGACGTTTGAATTGCAACCTCTGTCGGGTATATTGGAGCTCCGATTGCCGTTAGATCGGAAAAGGCAAAAAATATATGATGTAAGTTTAAAAAAGCAATTTTTGGTCACCCAAAAATGCTTAAAATATGGTATTACATTCACCCCCCCAACTCACTTGAGTACAAGAACGTATGGCTGGCCCCATCTGCATCGCCTTACACTGATCTCCCAGACTTATTTCTACCAACTTTCAGTCCTCTTGCGTATCCCGCAACCGCAGTGTTTGGTGGATCCGAATTTTCACCCCTGCAGTAAATCTCTTTTAGAAGGTCGTGGAAGACAGTTTCGATGGTTAGGGCCCCTCCCGGAATTTTGTCGCCGGGCCGAGCCATACGCCCAATTTAGGCTAGTGTAGTGCGGGACAAGAAGAGAAAACATTTTGTTTTTTGGGGTCATTGGATTGAACCAAAACTAAGTACAATCCGGAATCCCCCTAAACCAGGGATTTAGTAATACCCCCCATTCAATTGGGGTTCATGAATGGGGTGTGGGTGGTTAGTTTTCTGCTTGGACCTATTTTTGATGGTCTTGAAGTACTATCTGTTTGTTTGCGTCCGTGTCTGCTGAAAATTACTGTGATGGAAGTTCGGGCGCTGCAGTCCGCAATTGTTTGCCCCAATGTGCGAAACCTTTTCTTCAGTCTAGGGTCGAGAACCATCGATAGATAGTTTTCGGTAGTCGACAATGTGACTACCGATAGTTTTTTGTTTATAACGAATTATACACAGCAAACGGAAAAATATAGAGTTTTATCAGAACTGTATTGAATCGTGCTTTGTTTTTATAGTTTTCGGCTCTGTATATATGCACGACTATATTTAAAGTCAAACTCAATGATGTTTTACAAGATACATTATTTTGATTTTCTATATTCAACAGAGAGGTAGAAACTCGACCCTGTCGAATGGTGCAGTCATTTATGTCTCTAGAAATTATTGAAAAAGCGTTCAGTCCAATGGTGCAGCAACTTTGGATTCCTATTTCCTTCAGAGACATAGAAACTCAAGCTTTTCGAATTTTACTGGCAATGATTTTCGTTAATGTCCCCGAGAATTATACAAAAACAGCGCAATGCAATATCGCAACGGTTTCGACTTCTCTTTACTCTACAAAGTTATAGAAACTGAAGTCTCTCTGATACTGTTCTGGTCAATATTTCTGAGAGTATAAAAAGAGGGTGTAATTTAATATTGCAAGAAGTTTTGATCTTTTCATGGATGCAAGTAGTTTGAATATTCTCATTTCGGCATATGATTTTGTTGAAAATAGTTCCTTTCTTTGGTTCCTTTGTCTGATTTTTATTTACCGTAACAACTCAGGTATGTAAAGCACAGAGGATATGATGTATATATTTGTATTAAAAATGTTAGAGGTTATGTTGAAAAATGATCGATATGCTATTAAACTTTAATAATTTAGTAATGAGATCTGTTGGTAGACCCTGCACATCTCCACTGGTAGTTTTATATTAGTTCAGCAATATTTAAATCTGGTTGATCAAAAAGTACACACCAGTGCTGCAGCAGGTTATTGTAGCATCTACGAACAAATGTGGTATTACATTCACCTCCAACTCACTTGAAATACTTTTTCAGATAAGAATTGAAGCATATGATTTGGGGGTTCCCACACCGCTCAGTTCAGATCTTGACTTGACAGTATATATCACCAATATTAATGATTATCGGCCGCAGTTTTTGGTGGACGAATTCATGGTTAATTTTACAGGTAATATCGTACATTTCGATATGGAACTTGAGAAACGTAAGATGCATTATTTTTTAGAAAACAAATTGGCAGGCGCGGAAATCCAAAAACTCCCAAACACAATCGACAGGGACGAGCTGGAGTTCGAAGGTCCGCCCACCCCAATATGCTACTACATCATAGCGGGCAACGAAAACAACCTGTTCACGCTGAACCCACACAAACACGTTTTGGCAACTACCAAACGGCTGGACAGAGAACGTCAACAGTCCCATCTGCTCCTAATTAAAGCTACGGAGAATTGCAGCTCTGCGCCACTAATGAACAGCTTTTTTGATGCTACGGATGACACCCAATTGAAAGTTCTCGTCAATGTTATCGATGTCAACGATAATCCACCGAAATTCGTCCACAGGGTGTTCACGGGAGGTGTAAGTACGGCCACTGCCTTCGGAACCAACTTCATGGAAGTTAAGGTACAGATATTCTCAATACGAAATTAAAATGCTTCCCAGAGAACCATGGTTTGGGCAAGAAATTAGTCAACTTTTTCCCAACTAAGTTTGGTGTACATTTATTGGGGTTTATTTGGGCATATAAATTGTATTTTCATTAAGTTTGACCAAAAATTTACATATTTTATGCAAATCATTTCCCAACGCACAAAAACAGCATAAAAATAAAGACTTAAGTTGACTTATTTTTGACCAACTTCGTTTGTAATGAAGTTTGGTCGAAAATTGGCAAAAAATTGAATGGAAAAAGAATCAGTTTACTATGCGCAATAGCGGGTTTCGGATAAAATTTAATATGCACCTCGACATTAAAGTCATTTTTTATCACTCTCGTGGTTATAATTTCCACATTCGTGATTAAAAAAAATTATTGAAAGATTATAATATTTGTTGGCGTTTAGTTCAACTTGCAAACTATAAAATCTGACAAGCTCTTTAGAAAAAATTAAAAATCCCTCTCTTCCTGATTTTTTATGGCCCGTACCTGACCAGCCGCCACTGATAGGTCATAAAAAATAGATTAATATTTCAAGACCTTCTCTACAGAAATGCGTAAAAAAGTGCTTGTGGGAAATATAATCATCCGTGCTCTAACTCAACGTGTGTTAAGTTTTAAACGGCTTTAAATATTGAGTAAGTAATTATAATATATATAATAAAGGTTATTTTTCAAACTTTTTTAAGAAATAATTCAATGGGGTAGTTAAATTTTTTCTGACCTATACTTTTTATGGTTTTATTCAAGGCGTTTTGTAATATTAAACATTTCTGTGAAATCAGAATTTCAATTGAGTTTACCGTTTTCGAGATATTTACAAAAAATATAATTTTTTATGACGTCACAAACCTCGCCATGTGACCAACATTCTAAGATTTCTATTAGTTGAAAATTACCCTGTTGTCAAGTTGTCTTGTTAATGATTTCATTCGGTTATGTCAGAAAATACCCGAAGAGGTTATGTACAAATACTGTCACTGTCAGTTGAGTGAAAGATGGTCACCAAATTCATTAAGTACCTATCTGCCTTATTACGAGGTATCATATTACTGTTTGATATTTAAGAGTCCAAGATATATCTAAAAGAATATAAAGAACTAGGCATTATACTAATGAAATGCATTTACGACAAAATATGATTATAATTATAGGTACTTACTTTATTTGTTTAAAAGCTCCAATGTTCAATGTAACCAACCATTCCACAAGATTCCTCTGCTTTGGAGTTCATTATTAATAAATCACTTATCTAATATCAATTACAAATAACATAACAATAACATTGATTTTCAATAATCTAAATTTAAAAAAAAACATCCCGAAAAAAAGAAACGTCAAAAAATCAATTCTTCTTCTTCTTCTCAACTAAAATTATAGATCAAGTGGTTTTAAAACTAAAATATTTTAACGTGGCGCCATCTATCGTAAGAATCTTAAACTAAACACACTGGCAACCATAGAAAAAGCTGGCAACGTTGTCAATAGCCTAGTGACGTAATTATGAGATTTTTTTTGTAAATATCTCGAAAACGGTAAACTCAATTGAAATTCCGATTTCACAGAAATGTTTAAAATTACAAAACGCTTGAATAAAACCATAAAAAGTATAGGTCAGAAAAAATTTAACTACCCCATTATTATACAATTTCTTACTTTTCAAAGATCGTTAATTTTGAAGTAATATAAATTTGTAAATAGTGTTTATGCGTACAAGGCTTTTACTACAAGCGGGACAATTTAAAAATAATTTTTTTTACCTATATCACAGAGGAAAAATAGGATTTATTGGGTTTAAATATCTATAGTGCCTGAAGTGAGCAAGGTAATCGTAATTTTTGCATTGAATTTTAATATTGATTTATTTTTTTATTTTAGAAGTTCTTCATAACATATAAAGTTACCAATCACAAACAGTTTTACAATAAGTTCTTCATGTTTAATAAAACATCATTCTTGATAGCCTTATCGTAATTCTATTGGTCGCATGTATTAATACGTATAAAGGTATTTTTTCTAGAGAGTTTACATAAACACGAGAGATTTCCTCCTTCTGGAGTTTCAGAGGTCCTTTGATGTGGCCTTGAACAACGCCAAGCAACGTGCCAGAAATAAAAAAAGCCTTATTTTACAAAACAAAAAAAAAAATTTTTAGGATTCTTCATGAAAAACAATATTTTTCCAATTTTTATTATTTAAAATTTTTTTTAATTATAACATTTTTTTAACAAAATTTTAATTTTTTTATTATAATTAAAAAATTTAAATACAATTGTCTTCTGTGCCTGTATTTTTAATATCTCCAAAAAATTAATAGATTTTAATGAGAAAAAGCTTTTTCAGTAATATTCTTTTAAATATAATTATAATATTTGTAAATATTTTGGATTTGTTCAAATATTTACCAATATCATGCCATTGGTCAGTTTTTTAAAAGCCTAATGTTTGCCCAAATAAACTTCAAAAAATTGTCACCGTTTTACCATGCCCAAACATTCACAAAATTAAACCAACGGTAACCTATATATAGGTTAGTTAGTTAGTTAGGTAGTTAGTTAGGTATACCTAACTGCTTTTGATCATTTATTGTTGGCCATCGCGATTGCAAAAAAATCATAGGAATATTAAGTCCTATGTTGAACATTTATTGGAAAAACTTTTCCAAAGGCGAAAGGGAAATTCTTGGCCAAGTTTTAACCTGATATGGCTCTCTGGGTTCTTCCGGATCTTTATTAAATTTTGTTTGTTTAATATTTAAAAGGCTGAAGATGCAGATACGGGAAAAAACGCAAAAATATCGTACTATCTCATCGGACGAATTCAAATGACTTCCACAGAAGGCCTGGAAAACCTCCACAGACCTCCGTTTATAGTAAAAAAGGAATCCGGAGCAGTTCAGCTGAACTTTGACCCTCAATACGGCATGAAGGGATATTTTGACTTTATGGTAAATATAGTATTTTTTCTAAACAGTAAATCTAATCAAAACTAAAGGTTTTGGCCAATGATACAGGAGGATTGCAAGACATGGCCAGGGTGTTTATTTACTTGTTAAGAGAAGACCAAAGAGTCAGGTTTGTGTTGAGGCAAAACCCGCCAGAGTTGAGAAACAGAATAGAAACGTTTAGAGGGTATGAA